AGGAGGAGGAGGAGGAGGACCTCCTCGTCCTGCCTTCCCCCGTCCTGCACATGGTAGCTGTGGTGGAAAAGGTGCCCTGACCTTCCAGAGGGCTATTTTTTAGCACCAGAGGCCTAAAAACCTGAAAAGCGGAGCGAGACAGCCCAAAACCAAGACGAAGAGTAGCTTTTGGATAGGTTTTTTTTTCAGTCGGGTGCTATTTTTTAGCCCTCCTGCAAGCTCAAAGGATCTCCGCGAGAGCCCGGAGAGAGCCTCGCGGACAACGCCACGCTGCCCCTGAGAGGCACCCTCACCGTGCATCGGGACACCGAGAAGCACCGATACCGCGAGTGGACCTCTCCCAGGGTGCGTTCTGACCAGGATCTCGAGGCGAGCCCAGCGGCGGCGACGAGCGCCTCCCAGGAGGCCCGAAAAGAGGAAAACGAGGGGGAAGGTTGGCGGTATGGGCGCCCTGCCCCCCTTCGGGGAGCTTCCGACCGGGGTCAACGCGGAGGATCCTGCAAGATCCCGCGGGATCCTGCTCCCAAAACGAGGGCCAGTGCGACCCTGGTCGGGCGCTCTGCCCTGACCTTCCAGAGGGCTATGTTTTAGCACCGAAGGCCTAAAAACCTACAAAGCTGAGCGAAGCAGCCTCAAACCAAGACGTAGAATAGCTTCTGGATCGGTTTTTAAGTCGGGTGCTATTGTGTAGCCCTCCTGGAAGGTTAGAGGGAAAAGAACTATGCACATGCACCGATTCTGGCCAGGCCCATCCTGAGCCCAGGATCGGTGCATACGCCCTCCTGCCTTGGCCAGGCAGGCATATGCACCGATCCTGGGTCAAGGATGGGCCTTGCCTGGATCAGTGCATGTGCATAGTTCTCTTCGCCCGAAAGGTCAGGGTGGCTGACCCCCGTCCGCATTGACCCCCGCCTCGAAGCTCCCGACCCCTCTGAGTGCAGAGCTCCCCGGCCCCGAGCTAGTACTGGTAGCAGCGGTAGCGGCAGCTGAAGCGGGCGTCGAAGCCGGCGGGGGCCCTCCGGGAGGCCAGCACCCGGATGTCGGCGGGCAGCACCCCGTTGAGCATGGCCGCGTAGTCGTAGTCCTCGGCCCCGGGCGCCAAGGAGAGGGAGAGGACACACGCGTAGAGTTAAGTCGGGCGTGTCCCCCTACAGGGGGATTTTCGACGAAAAACAGGAAATACGCAAAAAAATGCCCCCAAATTGCCAAAAAATGCTCAAAAATAGTCCCCAAGACTATTTTTGGACTGGTTTTTTATTAGTTGTAAGGTATTTTTTTATTTTTCGTCGAAAACCCCCCTGTAGGGGGACAGGCCCGACAGAAGCGTAGAGGGAAACATTTCGTGGACATTCCCTTTGCCCCCAGATTCGAAGTTGGCACGCGCGGGGGAGACTGCGGTCGAAGTGCAACTCGTCAGACCCACCGCCAACTCTGAACATTGGGGAGGGAGGGAGGCACCCGCTTGGGCGGAAAACCGACTCGGGCGAGCTGGCCCGAAGGCGCTTCGCGGTGCACCAACAGCTGGGGCCGGAGCCGAGACTGAAGCGCACGGAAAATGGAAAGGGCCCACCCTGCAGGGTCGGAACACACCACATCGTTGAGCGGTGATGCGGCCTCCCCTGAGCACAGCCCCCCCCGGAGCATCAGCGAGACGAGTCCGGTTTGCACCCTCACGCCCTGCTGGGCTTCTCGGCGCGTTTGGGCACTGCCACTGCCGCCGCCACCCCCTCGCCAGGGCCACCGACTCGGGCGACGGAGGCAGCGGCAGTGGCCGTGGCCGAGGCGTCCAAGCCCGGCGGCGTGCAACGCCAGGCTGCGAGTGAGAAGCGTTGGCCGATGAATGCGGCGAGGCCTGGAGTAACTATCGGGTCGGGCGAAAGGGGGGGATAGCAAAGGGGGGGTTTGAGAATCAGCTCGCGTAGCTGATTTTCCCGGCGCCTCCCGGCGTCAGAGGCGGCTATGTATCGAGGACTGGGCCTGGCGGCGGGGCCGAAACCAGCTGCATGCAGCAAATTTCGTAAACCCCCTTTCCCAATCCCCCTCTTTCGCCCGGCCCGAAACTAGTGGGTAAGGCACCAGTGGATGCAGGCGAGGTGCTGCCAGAAAGAATCGCTGAGCAAGGACCGAAGGGGCTCTTCTGGCCGCGGCGAGCCTTGGCCACGAATAGGCACCCCGACCTGGTCCCTCTGCGTCCCGCATGCTCCGAGGAGCCTCGAGGAGCCCTTTAGGGCCCTCGAGGAGCCCTTTTGGGCCCCTGCTGGCTCCACAAGAGGCCATCAAGGACCCCTTTGGGGGCCCTTTCCTTCACCCCCCCCCATGTGGGTCGTCCCCCTTTTACAACCCGTCATGTTCTCCTCCCTCGGCGGGACGCAGCGGAAAGCCGAAACCCTGCTGAGCCAAACAAAATGGTCCTTTGTTCGAAGCCTTGACTGTAATCGGCTGCACGCAAGAGTGACCCTGGGTAAGAGTGACCTTTGGTGCGCGGCTCATCGGGGGCTGCGGGGGGCCCAAGCACAAGCGCGCAACACGCCACTATCGCATCGCGTTCAACGATCGGGGGAAGCCCAATGGGCCCGCACCAAAGGTCACTCCGGCGAAAGGTCACTCTTGCGTGCAGTCGATGTAAGGAGTCCAGGGTCTGGACGCCGGTCGAGCACACGCCGAGGCTGGGCCGTGGACATCACCGCCTCGCTCATCAGACAACGAAGCCCTCGAAGGGTCTGAAGCCTCCCGGGGTACACTCCTGGACAAACGCCCCCGCCGTATAGCTGCAGGCATGGCGGGGCTCCAATTCCCGACTGTGTGAGGCCTTCGAATGGACCAAGCATGTATGGCCAAACGTGGCGCTACGTGACGGTCGGCGCCCATCCTCGCTGGGCGTGTGTCCGAATATCCCCCTGGGTGCGCGTCTCCGAGTTCCCCACCCTTTTCTGCGCGCCCTGGCTTCCGGGGGGGGGGGACATCGGGGATCAAAGGGGGGCGAGGAGCCGCCTGCGAGACCTTGCGATCCAAGACGTCTTGCTGCAGAACATGCAGGTGCTCCTCTGTCGTCGAGCTTTTGGGGCCCGCCGAGGTGCCCCAGGGCTCATGTGGGAGCAGGAGGAGGAGCAGGAGGAGGAGGAGGAGGAGGAGCAGGAGGAGGAGGAGGAGGAGGAGGAGGAGGAGGAGAAGGAGGTTTGGGCCCACTGAGGTGCCCCAGGGCTCATGTGGGACCCGAGGCCGTCGGGGGATGCGAAAGTTCCGGAGGTGGGAGGGGGCCTGCTGGCACGCCAGGCTCTTACCTGATACGCCCACTGCTCGCCGAACGTGCCAGCTGCGCGGGGGAGGCTTAACTGGCCACTGCTCGCCTGCCCGTGTCGAAGACAACCTCCTCCTCCTCCTCCTCCTCCTCCTCCTCATCCTCCGCCCCCTACTTCCGTCCTTCCCTCCCCCTCCCCTCCCCTCCTCCTCCTCCTCCTCCTCCTCCTCCTCCTCCTCCTCCTCCTCCTCCTCCTCCTCCTCCTCTCCTCCTCCTCCCTCGAGGGTGTCGTCGACGGCAGCCCTTCGGAGAAACCCTCGAGGAGACCGCGCTCGACCACGCTCCGCCGTTCCGTGCCGCTGGGAGGGGCGCAGCGTGGATCGCAGGGGGGGAAGAGGCGGACGAGAGAGAGAGAGAACGGTGAACCACTGATGTGTCAACGATGCTCCAACACGCCTTCCCGCAGACCCCCCCTTACGAATATTCATCCTCTTGCCCCTAGCTTGCGTGCACGCCTCGGTATACGCATGGTCCTCGAGACGAGATGCTTCCTTTATTAAGGGGAAAACAAAACTACCTCGCTTTTGACCACCCTCGCTTCCAAGAGATACCAAACGTCGCCAAACTACGGCCTGTACTGGTCAGGCCGCTTGACGAGGAGGCGCGTGGTATGACTTGGTTTTGCCTGGAAGCGAAAGCGGGGTAGGTAATTCACGCTCTGATTTATGATCGCAAAGCACACGAGCACGCAAAGGGACGCACGAGTGGAGGGATGATGAAAGGCAGAGGCGGGCGACGACGCCTCCGCGCGGGGGGCAGCCCTCCAGACATGCTGGCGGAGCTGGTCACTGGACTGGCCGTCAGGGACCCGCGAGGCGCGGATAATTTCTGCCACGCCCTGCGCGTGCAGGCCACGGGCAGAGAGCCAAGCCTGCGGATCCCACGCCCCCCGAGCCCCCCCCCCCGACCGCGCGAGCCGCCTGCCCCCGGGGGTGTGCCCCCCCCCCCCCCCCCCCCCCCCCCCCGAGGCGCCAGAGCCGTCAGGGACGGCAGGCAGGGCCACGCAGGAAAAGATCGTGGCGTTCTTGGCCGCGAGCGTCGCGTGGAGGCTGGCGATCGTGGGTGGTTTCCGGCCTTGTGTATCTGGGGGCCCATGGACACACAGACACACACGTATTTATATATATATATATATATATATACAACTCCCAAGATTTCCCATGTTCGTCATGTTTTCTTGAGGTTCGTCTTCCCCTCCACTTTCCATACGTTCCAGTAGTTTCCTGGGGGTCGACGAGTCGTTGTAATCTGCGTGTTATTGCTCGTGTGTTTGCTTCCCTCCTGATTGTGGTGCGCCGGACGCACCAGCCGCGTTGTCCGTAGACGCATCCGCCCCGAACGTGTACGGCGCCCCATGCGTCCACAGGCGCATGCGGCTAGAAGAGCGAGAGCGGTATCTGGCAGATGTCCCAGGTACTGCTCTCCCAAGACCTGGCCCCCAGTTGGTGCCGCTCTGTCCCACTCGAAGAGAGAGTAGGCAGGCGCGTTCCACTACTCGCAAAGTAGCTACTCGCAAGTGGCCTGGATCCGCCACAGGGGATTTACGATATTTTTACACAAAGGCAGACGTATGGTTTTCTGACGTTTGCGAGTATGCACTTTGCGAGTAGTGGAACGCACTCGGCGAGAGGGGGGGGGCCTCCTCGAAGAGAAGCGGGGGGGAGGTCCTCTGCCGGGGCGTCGGGCTTGCACGGCTTGACCCTCAGCTGCATGGCCGCGTAGTTGCCCGCGGCGTGCACACCCTTGTCGGTGCGCCCGCACCTGGAAGCCGCGCCGGCCTCCGAGCGGGCCCCGCCGGCATGCCTGCGGCCCTTCCTGGTGGCCTTGTTTTCCTCCACCACCACCACCACCAGGAGGGGGAGGGGGAGGGGGTCCTCCTCCTAGCTCCTCCTCCTCCTCCTCCTCCTCCTCCTCCTCCTCCTACTCCTCGTCCTCCTCCTCCTCCTCCTCCTCCCTCCTCCTCCTCCTCCTCCTCCTCCTCCACCTCCTTCCCCCCTCAAACTTACGGCGGTGGTGGAAAGCAGGCCCATGACTTCTCTCGGGGACGCACGGACCCTGGCCAGCCCGCATCCTGGGCCGGCCAGGGCTGACGCGGCGTGCCGCCCAGCCGGCCACGGAGCAGCTCCCGAGCCCGGGTCGGCGGAGGGCGGAGGAGGAGGAGGAGGAGGAGGAGGAGGAGGAGGAGGAGGAGGAGGAGGAGGAGGAGGAGGAGGGAGGCGGGCGGAGGGGAAGAGCAGTAGGAGGAGGACGAGGAGGAGGCGGAAAGCAGGAGGAGGAGCAGGAGGAGGAGGAGGAGGAGGAGAGGAGGAGGAGGCGGAGGAGGAGGAGGAGGAGGAGAGAGGCGGAGGAGGAGGAGGAGGAGGAGGAGGAGGAGGGGTCGGCTCCAGGTGGCTCCCAAAGCCGGGTCGGCCGGAGGGTCTCGGAGGAGAGCGGCTGGGCCCCCCTGGCGCCGACCCCCGTGGCGCGAGCCCCGGCTGCAGAGGCGTTTGCCCTCCCTCCGGGCGGCTCGTCTCACAGGGCTCCGCCTGCGTGAAACAGGCGCCCAACACGGCCAAGATCTACTCCACGGGAGGGGGGGGGGAATGCAACCCTAAGGTGAGTTTTTCTTATTCGGCGTTTCGACATTGGGCGGAAGGGGGGAGGAGGGGGGGGTCTGGTTCATGACCTCTGCTCAATGCGTCTGTTTGCAACAGTGCGTCCTAGGATGAGAAAGGCTCCGCCTGCGTGAAACAGGCGCCCAACACAGCCAAGATCTACTCCACGGGAGGGGGGGGGGAATGCCAGGGCCCGCGCCGACCAGCAAAACAACGAATCAGAAAACGATCGCGAGGGCAAGCACTGTCTGGGTCATGGTGCTCCCATTGTACTTAAGGACCACATCCCAGAAATCACCTCGAGCACCTGGAAAAGTGTCGAAAGAGTGTCGAAGCAGTGTCGGACGAGTGTCCTCCAGGGCCCGACACGTGAAAGCCCTCGAGTTTCGGTACTTTTGTTCTGGCGTTCGGATTTTTGTCTGGTGGTCAAGGCTAAAGCAGGTTGGAACATCATAATCAGATGGGAAACGACAAGGGGGATACTGGCTCATCCAGGGGGGCAGCGTCGACCCGGAATCGGCGATACCTCGTGGCCGATAGATCGGCGAGGAGCCCCCGATGGCGAGTCCCTACGTTCCTGGACGGGGTGGGCCATGGGGTCCCCCAAAGGCGATGGGGGTCCGTGCATCCCCTCCCTGAGCCTATCCCCCTATCGTTGCCCCGCGGACTTCGGGCCATATCTGGGCTCGCTGGCGGTCATTCGGGGCGATCTCGGTACCCCCGGAACGCTCTCGGCAGGGCGCAGCCGCTGGAAGGCAGCCGCTGGAGAACCTCCGAACACCTCCGAGAACGTCCCGAGAACCTCAGAGAAGCCCCATCTCCTAATTTTGCCTCATCGCTTCTTCGTCCTCCTCCTCCTCCTCCTCCTCCTCATCCTCCTCCCGCTCCTCTTGCTGCTCTTCCTCTCTCAAACTCCTTCTGACTGCGGATCGTCTGTCTCCGGACGAAACGCGGCACACCGGGTTTTAAACGGGACAACAAGAACAGATTTAGTGGTGATGAGGCGGAAGCTTCTCACCAGTCCAAAAGAGCTGTTCAAGGAGGTCCAATGACGTACCAGCAACTCTGTGGAATATAATCGACCCGTCTCATATGGAAGGCCGCTTCGAAGCTTTTCGGACGGGGCGCGGCCGATGAAAGTGGCCAGGGATGGACCGAGGAGGCAAGGCTGCAAGGGTACCCTGTAGGAACATCGTCCATCCTTACCTTAGCTGCCCCGACACGCAACACGCAACACGTGGCGCATTGATACGGAGGTCAACACGTGGACTGAAAGCGTAGGTCCGACGCGATACGTTCGCCAAAACGTGGGCCAATACGTGGAGCCCACACGCAACGTGTTGACACGGACGTCTCGAACACGGGACGTGCTGCGTCTCAAAACGGGCGCATCGAGGCAACTGAGATCCTTACTGTACGGGCTGACTGTAGGCATGCCGATCGCTCAGACAAAGCAGGAGCTGAGCCTTCCCGTCCCCCCCCCCGCCCAGGCCCCGGCTGTTGGCCGTGGAGGGGCGTGTTTCGTTCCGGGGAGACGTAAGACTCGGGTACGTGGCACTCGGGCTGGCCCGACGGGGGCCATCATCAACATGACGAGACCCCGTCTGA